AGAGAAAGTCAAAATTGCATTAAATCCTGTGGCAACTTTCTTGCATTTCGCTTTCGTAACCACTTACATGCAAACAAACACACAAAATATTAAAAATTAGTCACATTCTCACTTTTATCTTTCACTTGTAGGCAAACAAGCATCCCCTTACTATGTAACTCACCACTGACTGAGCGTTTGAGTTTTCATTTCCTCCTACTTTATCTTTCCCATTGTTTATCATGAAAAAAAAATCACAAATTTGCATCTAGAATCAGGCAGCCAGTTGTTTTCTTTCCACAGGATGTTTTCGCACAAATTTTGGGCATCATGATGCTATTTGGATTTGATCACTGCAGCGGCCACAAAAATGTCAACCAGAAAAATCAGGATATTGAATATACGAAAACAAAAATTGGTTTTGGAGATACTAAGCCAGTAACAAGGACACAGGAAGTCACCACAACCCTGGAGGATATCACAGCTACCTGACTTAGTTCTTAGATGCATTTACCCTATTCAACAACTGCTGAGATATAACACCTTGAACTTTCATAAGTTTCTGAAACATATATATTTCGCCGAGTGAAATGTGTGCTTCATCTGGTTAGTTCTCTACTTTTGTGGCAACCAAGCACGGAAATACTAGTCGATTGCAATATTAAGTGAGGGAGTGCAAGATAAAAGTTGAGTGAGAAAAAGAAAGTGAGCATCTTGCTGCAAGGGAAAAAAGGTTATGATGTAAGTTGCATGGAAACGGGTACAACTTTATGATAGAAGTACCCGGTTAGCATAGATTATGGTATTACAATCTGGTGCATGTCTTGTACCAATATCTCTAAACATGGTATCATATTTACTACATAATTCTTAGTAGTAAAAGGCTGACACAGCGCTAAAGGAAGAAAGTGAAAAAATGAATTTGGGCAAGTTTCGATTGATTTTATGCATACACCAAGTGGACCTATTTACATTGTTTGTCCATCTAATTATAGCCTAGTAGCATGGAACGTGCACTATCACTAAAAAGTATCCAAGCACACTACAAAAATAGCCTGTCACTGGTTGCACATAGGCCAGTCACCCTGTAAAGTTTACTATCCAATACACTTTTCTTAACTTCACCATGGATTTTTAGAATTTTTAAAGCTGCAAAAATGTCATTTATCAATACTCATGAACCCTCAAGTAGAAGTAACAATTATCTCCAACTTTTATTTGCAATCACTTGATGAACAAAATATCTTAATGGTCATAAAACTATAAGAAAAATATGGTTTGAACTTTCACTTGCTCATAAGACATTTTCGAACTATGCTCATTCAACGAAATATATTTGACAAGCATGTAATTTCTCAACACATTTACATGTTAATATCATAAGTGAGAGACTTCAACATATTGCTATTACATAGATAACATTTCTTGAATTTTCTCATGTACATCTAGTCACAGCTTAATGCACACGTGTGCACATGCACCCCATGCATGCACACAGATAATTTTTGCATTCATGCGCATGTGCAAAATAATATTAGCATTTTGAGCATTTTACTAAATATAGTTCTCAATGTGAATAGCATCAGTACAAAATAGTATCTTAGAGAAAATAAAATGATTCTTCCACCCATGAGCTCTACATGAAAAGAAGAAGCAAAACATAAGATCAGTGAAATCAGGTATTCTCACCATGATGCTGGCTGATGCAGAAGCTCTTCCTCGCAAAGTTGAAAACACATTGCCTCCCTCCACACACACACTCCCTGCTATCCATGCCAGCTTCGCCAGCAACATACATACCATAAAAGCACCACCTTCCTCCTCTTGCTGAAAACGTCCAACAACTGCTGAAATGTACTCCCCGAATCAGGGATCTGCCCCCAAGTCTGAAACACTTTGCAGTCACGAGGCAGAACGTCCATCATCTCTTTCTCATCCACAACGGACACAAAATAGCCCGTGTCAGCAAAGCAGGATGGTGCTGAGCAGCAGGCCCAGCCCACAGAACGGGTCACACTAGCATACATAGATTGAGCAGCAGCTCCAGCTCAGTAGTGGGATTGGAAAGCAAGGAGCTAATGTTCAGAAGTGGACAGGAACCGAACACGAGACTGAATCATGATCTGAGATCGATGGTCACCTCGCTGGTTTCGTAACTGAAGTTGGTGACTTTGAAAGGAGGCGGTGAAGGGAAAGACAGGAGGGTGTCATTAGCGGAGCATATGAGGTAAAGGCCGGGAAGCCACAGGAGGCCGGAGCAGATCGTAAACGGAGAGGGAAGCAGATCTGCAAGGATCCACAAGCATAGGGTGGGTATATTTCAAGAAGTCGTCTTGCTGATTTGCAAGGGATGTTATGGGTGTTGGGTAATATGGAGCACACAAGCAACCACACACAATAAGGAGTAAAAGCAGCAGCAACACAACACAAAGGGTTATTTATGTGGTTCGGTCAAACATGTCTACATCCACAATTTAGACACTAAGAAAATCCACTATCTTCACAAACCAATACAATAAATGCAAGTTTAGCACGGATGAAACTTGAAAACCCTTGCACATCTCACATCTCTCAAGAAATCTGAGAACATCGATCATTGAAGGGCTCCAAGAGGCCATCATCACACCACATCACTCAAAGAACCTGAGAACACCGACCACTCAGGAGTTCTAAGAGGACCCTCCCTCGCACAAAGAGGATATCTTTCTCAATACTATCACACATCCTTTCATAGCCTTTCTATCTACAAAGACAAATCAATGTACATAATTGCTCTTGACAATTTCCAAGAGCAACCCTTCAAATTTCCAATACATACACCTTTCAAACTTCCGTGGTCAACATGCATGAATCCTCCTCATTTTGAGATTTGGAAAGAATCCTAAAAGTGGTTTTGTAGAGGAGGACGAGGGGAGAGATGACGCTGGCGAGAAGGCTTGGCATTTGTGTAAATCTAGATTTTTATATAAAACTTGTAAATTTTATGTTCAACCAAATCATCAACAATCCACGGCTGTCTACTACCGTGTGACATAACAAGAAACAATAGGAGGATAAAGGCACTTTCCCCAAGTCTTCTTGGAGGAATTAGTTAATAGTCTCTAGTCTTCCCCAGAAATATGAAGTTTAATAGGAAAGCAGTAAAACAATATTTACTGAAAAACTATTTTGAGAAATATTATATCTTAAAAATAAGGTTATACACACACACACAAACGCCTTTGTTGGAAAAAAATTCAATTGTTTTAACTTTACTTATTGTGATACCCTAAGATTTAATCTCACATCAGATATTGATTAAGTGATTGAATGATTTATAATATAAATCCAATGAGTTAAGTGCAACATTGACTAGTCAATTTTGACAGTGGCTTGAGCTAAAAAGTGTGGCACTCGATGGATCCTACAGCTTACAGCCTCGCGGTCCGGAACCTTTAAAAACACGTAATCATTTTGTAGTTTAATTAAGCGAGTTGGTGAAGTGGCATCCGAGTCCACAAGCCCGTTGGTGCATATTAAGCCATGGGACCCCCTGAGTGTAACACGTTCTTTGGCTCAATCCATTGTCAAAATTAACTAGTTAATATTACACTTGACTTCTTGGACTTACATTATATGCTATTTAAACTCTCAATCAATATCCGATGTGAGACTATACTTGGGGTATTATAACCACCTCACCTTTAATAGGCAATGTCCTCATCGCGGCAAGACCGTAAAAGTCAGGAACGTGGTACGCTATAGGTAACCGCGACCAGGGTTCAATCATCCCAAATTCGTGTGGAATACGATCTGATTCACTAACTCCAGTAACCCGATTTAGAATTCAAACCAGTTAAAATTTTGAAAAAGGAACTTTTTTTAAAGAATAAACAACAAAAAATATGAGAAATTAAGCAAATAAAATATGTGTATCTTAATTGCAACATGATTCTCATCGTTCTTTTACCATTACTGATATTAACTAGCATTTAAGAACCGAACCTAAAGTCTATCATGCTTCCTGGCGTACCACATAAGCCTACGGCCCTCGTACCCATTTCCTAATGAGGGGCATACCACGTTCCCGTACCCATCCCATGAACCAGGTTCCATGCAAATATGGGCATGATAACTAGCACATCCTATATTATTGCACTAGATATGGCTCCCTAGCGATGTGGACTCTAGAGATGGCTCATACAGACTCTAGAGGTGGCTCCCACCGTACTCACGCAGGGTAATACTTAGTCACGCATAGTGCTTAGCTCTACACTTCCGATCGGCTAACTACTATGATACCATTTGTCATACCTCAGGCCCACGAGCCTGTTGGCGCATACTAAGTCGTGAGACCCACTGAGTGCAACTCATTGTTTGACTCAATCCACTACCAAAATTGACAATGGTGCACTGGACTTCTTGGAGTTACATTATAAACCATTTAATCTCTTAATTAATATCCGATATCGGACTATACTTGGGGTATCACAAAAAGGTTCTCATATGAAATTTTTGTACGGTGTTACTCACCATGATTGTTGTGTTATCAGTGCATGTCAGTTCAATAGCTGGATCCCTGCAGAATGATGGATCGCCTTTTGAGTGGAAATTGAACCCAATGCCCTGAATAAACCAGCAAGAAAAAAGAAGATGAGACGGGAGCTAAGAAGAACTATAAAAACAAGAAAACCTAGATCTTTCCTATGCAGGTCTTTCATGGTAAATGATTGAGTTACCTCGCACGTTCCAATTTCAAAGTCCAACTTTGCAGCCCTTGATCATGGGCTAAACAGTGTATAATGTTAGGTAAAGAAAGAAGAGCACAAGTCAAAGTAGAAATTTCTTACCTGCCAATTAGATAAGTATTTTTTTATGGTGACAACAACATAAAAAAAATATCTTCAGGATTAACAAAATACCACATAGAACACCCCATGAGATTAAATAAATGGTATGCATAGAAGATTAAATAAATGGTATGCATAGAAAGCCATATACTGAAAAAGTATTAAAAATAAAAAATAAAAAAATAAGAAAACTAGAAAATTATATCGTTATTATTTCCAAATTTTTCGTTATTATTTCCAAATTTTGAGACATCAATTACAAACAGAGCAATGAAAATTGCAGAAACATGAAATTAGCAACAACGTAGGAGATACCATGGATCTCTTTTAGATGACTCAAGGGAAATTCATTCACTAATTCATTCACCCTCATAGATGGTTGTTATTTCTGTGAGAGAGGGGTGTACTGAGGACGGTTTTGTAGATGAACTTGGAGAAGAAAATAGGAAAGGCTTCGGTGGCATGTCGATTGTATCCCCATCAGCTTCAAGCATCTCTACAACTTTGCTCATGGAAGGACGAGCTGGTGCCCGCATCTGAATACACCATAGTCCCACTTTACACAGTTTTCTTTCCAAATTGTCGATCTCAATATCGTTGCAGAATTCAAGTTTCTCTGTTTGTTCAAGCTGATGATAGATCCAAGAAGGATAGTAAACTTGACTTGAATTCTCTGCCCGTTGATCAACGTTTCTCCTCCCACCAGCCATCTCCAACAAAAGCATCCCGAAACTATAAACATCAGATTTGTAAGATATTAGACCAAAGCTCCTAGATACAAGTTCAGGAGCCATGTACCCTATCGTCCCTCTCGCGGCAAAAGCAGAGACAAGGCTGTTTTCCTTCGGATACAATTTCGCAAGCCCAAAATCTGAAAGCTTTGGGTTAAAATTCTGATCTAAGAGCACATTGTGAGGTTTAATGTCAAAATGTAAAATTCGTATATCGCATCCTTGATGTAAATAGTCAAGTCCCCTAGCCACACCCAATGCGATCTCATTGAGTTTCTCAATCGTGAAATGTTTGTTTGATCCATTTGAAGAGAAGATGTACTTGTCTAGAGACCCATTGCACATGAACTTGTAAATGAGTGACCTATTTGATCCCTCTGAGCAAAACCCTACAAGATGAACCACATTAACATGGTGAATCCTTCCAATGGTAGCTACTTCATTTGTGAATTCTTCTCCATTGCACTTGGAATTTCCCAGGATCTTGACAGCAACAAGATGGCCACCTGGGAGCTCTCCTTTGTAAACAGCTCCGAAGCCTCCTTGGCCTAATTTTTCTTTAAAATGTCTCGTCATTGCTATGATGTCGGTGTAGGCATATCTTGATGGGTGGCATGTCGATTGTATCCCCATCAGCTTCAAGCATCTCTACAACTTTGCTCATGGAAGGACGAGCTGGTGCCCGCATCTGAATACACCATAGTCCCACTTTACACAGTTTTCTTTCCAAATTGTCGATCTCAATATCGTTGCAGAATTCAAGTTTCTCTGTTTGTTCAAGCTGATGATAGATCCAAGAAGGATAGTAAACTTGACTTGAATTCTCTGCCCGTTGATCAACGTTTCTCCTCCCACCAGCCATCTCCAACAAAAGCATCCCGAAACTATAAACATCAGATTTGTAAGATATTAGACCAAAGCTCCTAGATACAAGTTCAGGAGCCATGTACCCTATCGTCCCTCTCGCGGCAAAAGCAGAGACAAGGCTGTTTTCCTTCGGATACAATTTCGCAAGCCCAAAATCTGAAAGCTTTGGGTTAAAATTCTGATCTAAGAGCACATTGTGAGGTTTAATGTCAAAATGTAAAATTCGTATATCGCATCCTTGATGTAAATAGTCAAGTCCCCTAGCCACACCCAATGCGATCTCATTGAGTTTCTCAATCGTGAAATGTTTGTTTGATCCATTTGAAGAGAAGATGTACTTGTCTAGAGACCCATTGCACATGAACTTGTAAATGAGTGACCTATTTGATCCCTCTGAGCAAAACCCTACAAGATGAACCACATTAACATGGTGAATCCTTCCAATGGTAGCTACTTCATTTGTGAATTCTTCTCCATTGCACTTGGAATTTCCCAGGATCTTGACAGCAACAAGATGGCCACCTGGGAGCTCTCCTTTGTAAACAGCTCCGAAGCCTCCTTGGCCTAATTTTTCTTTAAAATGTCTCGTCATTGCTATGATGTCGGTGTAGGCATATCTTGATGGCATTAACGCTTTCTCGTTGCGCAGAAATCTCTCAACGGTGTCTATCGGCGCAAGTAGGTTCCAGAGTTGGTAGGCAAGAAACGCATATATGGTCAATGTCCCAAATACAAATCTACCCAGAATTGCGAGTACTGCAAAAGTAACAGATGAGCATTGAGGACTATGAAAGAGAGCGAATTGATGAACATAATGAGATAACAGGAAAACGAAGTTTGTAGAGGACTGCAACCTGAGATGTCAGTTAACTGCCTACCTAGTAGAAATGCCGCAATGTCTAGAAACACAATGAAGACAAGAGCAGATCTATAGAGAGCAGAAGCACCATCATAGAAGTGCCAGCTTTTCTTTATACACTCTACAAATTCATACTCAAATTGAAAGGGATATGTAATCTTCTTAAACTTGGTGAACCCATACATATCTTCTCTTGTATACCTGCATTGAAAGAAAGAGCACATTAACCTATTATTAATACCCTGAAAATAAACTTGTATAGTGTCAAATCAAACAGTTCTGTGTAATAGTTTTGATAGGATTCTAAAGGCTATTTTATGAATAAAAATATTTTTGCAAATATTACGACTACTGCAGAGTAAGTATGAAAACTAAGACATGAAAAGGAACAGAGCTATAGAGGTCTTAACAAGGTAAATTCCTACTATAAAATTATTTAGGATGAATATAGAATGGAGACTCACTCACTGTATGGCTGTCCTCAGACATTGATGGATTACCATGGATCTCGTGTAGTTCTTGACAATCCATGAAAGACTGAATCCATTCTGTAAGACTTGAAAAACATTACCTCCTGTGGTTGTTATATCAACATCGTCCACGGGAACCATAGTTAGGTAACTGCAAGAAGGAAGAAGATTGACCACATAATATTCAGATGTGACATAGACAAATTTGTTGTTCTGGCTAAGGCAAGGAATAGGACGGTATATGTTGTTTTCTATCTTCTTTGAACAGTTAACAAAAGTTGCCCAACTCTGATCCTCCAAGTATTTGTAGCTGGTTGGTATGAATCTTGATGACAGAGATTGGATGGGGAGATTGCAACTGCCGCTCACAAAGCCAGTACCAATGATATGGATAGTAGCATTCTCGTGAAATATGTTCATGACAAGGTACTTACCAGAGAGGATCTCCACAACTGTTTTATTACCATCGCATTCAAGTTCATAGCTGGGATCTCCACAGTTTACTGGATCACCTTTTAAACGGAAGGGATAGCTGATATTATGAAGCGACCCGCAGGAAGAACGACAGATCTCTTTGCCCTCAACACCACTGGTTGATCCAACAGAAATGAAGAAGAGGTAAGAGACAATGAAAGCAGCACATATTGCTCCCAGTTTCTTCATGTTATCTCACATAGATGTGCTGACCGGAAAAACAAACTAATAAGTGAGATGGAACATTTCAAAACACGTGCCAAGAAAAAAGAAGAGCAAAAAAGGAACTGTACATAGATGCTTTAGATCGCTGACTTTTTAGTCCAATTTGGCAACCTTGACCTCTATGATTAAAAAAAAGGACAAGTCTATTTTAGGGACCATCTGACATAACAACTTGTTCCTTATGCATAATTAATTAGTTATGGCCCCTTACTAATTACTTCATTTTTCTGTCAAGAGGCGGAAACAGTGGCAATCATATCATATTGAAGTCCCTCAGGCATGCTCCTAGCAAGTTCAGTCACGCTGCCTAAAGATTACTTCATATCAAAATTAGCAGCATTATCAAAATTTATAACAAACAGTTAAGTTATTATCTAACACTAAAACAAGATAATCTCATGCATGAAATGAGATTTTTGAAGGTGGTTGCTCTGTTTGTCATCTAGATGAGCATAATAATTTATGGACTCATGTTAAGAAATATAAATTCACTTTGTTGGATCTAACCCAGTAAGCACCCATGTATATTTTTATCAAATCATCAATGATACTTTTTTCTTGAGATTTAACTTTTACTTAATCAGAAGGTAACATCATGTATAACTAATAAAAGAATTCTAAAAATAATAATCATTTCATCTTAAATTTTTTTGAAAAATTCATGTTTATGACATTTCTTTTAAACATTATGCCCCAATTTAACTAAATCGTTTTCACATCAACAATTTTTGGGTCTTGAGTATTTTTAAAATAATTCCGCTAACTCCATTCCCATTGTTTTTTAAAAGTCCTCGTGCAAAACAGTTACCATTGTTATGTAGTTTCAGTTGACATTGTTTTAAAAAAAAAAAACAGTCTAGGCAGTTGCGTATACATGTGTGGTGTTCCCCAAGCTGCTTAAATTTTCTATGAGATTGGGGCATACAAAAAGGGGGCAAAAACAAATCTCCAAAAGAAAGCTATTTAGCGACAATGGACTTTGGTATTGGCTTTTGTGTCAAATGGATTGCATCAGACCTAACTCGAACCAACAAAATAAAAAAACCAAAACCCAGATTCGAACCACAAAAGAAAAATAACTGCCACTGATTTCTATTCAAGAATGTCCCTGCCAAAGCCAATCACTTCCTTCACTGCTTGTGCGCCTGTCAGCTCTGCAAAAATAAAATGCCTAGGCAGCGGCGCAAAGTTGCCTGGGTAGCGGGAGCCAGTAACAAACAAGGATATTAATTGACTGCATTTGATTTTGGATTCAGGATCCAATTTTCCAAATAGGGTAAAAGTTCCGCTACCTACTTTAACCTGTATATGAATCTGGCTTTCTTTCTAAGCTTTTGCCTGATATGGACCCGAATCAGAATATATGTGAACACGATCAAAACGTGAATAAGATCTGGATATTAGGTATGTTCATTATGAAGTAAATATAGGATTACTTGATGATATATTCATAATTGTATTTTACAAGGGAAAAAAAGCAACACGACGTATCAGTAATTCCACTTTTTCAAGACTTCTTACAAGAAGATCCAATTCATATTAGTCACGAAAACAAATTTGTGCATATGTCAATATCAGGTTTGTATCCACTCCGCTTGCACCCCTATCACAATGTCACACCTTCCGTCTGCCAATAATCCAGAAAAAGAGAGAATGGACTTTATTGAAGATTAAATTGCCTGACTAGCTTAATATTGACTCAGCCAAGGTTCTAAATGTTGCTAGTAAAGTAGATAACAACCAACAGAATAAACTGTTGGATAGTGGATGTTATGTTACATAAAGAAAGTAAAATAGAGGGCACCATTATGATGAAAGATCTGAATATCTCATGTGGATAAACATTGATGGATACAGAAGAGGGTCTGATATAATATGTGTTTGTATGATAACATTATAACTCTTAAATGCAGATGTGTAAAGAGAAGACATATTGATGTCATACAATCAAACAAAAAGAACAACACAAATAGACACGGCTGCATTATAACTCGTAAAAATAAACAATTTAGTAGCCAATCCAGCGCTTAATAGTCACATGAAAAAATCATGTTGGTCAGTCAAAATAACAGGCATTATGTCCGGTCAAACCCAAAATATTAGAGATATTGACTAAATAAATGATATAAACTTATTTATACGATCGAGTTACTACGTTGAATGCTACAAAACGATATATCAGCCGACATGTCGAGGGAATTTTAAATTGTGGATGCAGTATGAGCAATTGGAGTTATACAATGTCCAAAGATTGAGAAGTCATCCTGTATCGATAGAATAAAATAATAAGGAAGAAGAGTTAGATGGGGATATGAAAACATGCTCAAACTGTATACACAAAAGCTAATTTCATATATCAACTGAGAAATGCTCCATAATAGATCAACTATTTGACAAGGAAAATATTACAACATTTTGTTGTTACATAAGTACACAGAAGGAATTGGGTACTAAATGACAGATACATATGTAAACTGCAGACGGAAGATAAGGGTTAAAAATGCTTTCAAAACCACGAGCAGGATTTTGCAATAAAACATAAATTAAAAGATTACATGAATTCTGTAAATGAAAGAGAAGAGGTAGATACAACAATTATAGAAAGAAGATAAAAGTGATAAAAGGGAAAGTGTATTTATTTAAGAAGACAAAGCAATTGCAATTTGAACTACCTTCAATTATAGTTTGCTTATAGAAGTACCAATATCTTGATATTCCGAGACAAAAGGCTTTGGTGGAATCTGCAAGCTTTCCAAGTCCCCATCAAGAAGTTGGATTACTCTTGTCATAGTAGGACGGTCATTTGGACTCAATTGAATACACCACAGTGCAACAACCATAAGTTTTTTTGCAATATTCTCCTCTTTTCCCATCTCCGCAGAAAGTCCAAGATCTTCTCCACTAATCAACCGGTTATAAACCCACTCTGGAAAATAAACCTCATTCTGCTCCTCAATTGCGGGTTCAGTAGTTCTCTTCCCACTTACCATTTCAAACAATAGCATCCCAAAACTGTAAACATCGGATTTGTAAGACACTTCTCCAAAGTTTCTAGAGTAAATCTCTGGTGCAATGTAGCCCATTGTGCCCCTAGCAGCTGTCATGGTAATAATGCTATGATCTCTTGAGCAAAGTTTTGCTAGACCAAAGTCAGAAACTTTTGGTACGAAGTTGTGGTCTAACAAGATATTGTGAGGCTTGATATCAAAATGTAGAATACGCTGGTCGCATCCCTGATGTAAGTACTCAATGCCCCGGGCAATACCAGTTGCAATTTCCAGCAATTTTTCCATGTTCAGTATTTGATAACTTCTTTTATCTTCTCTCATGAAAATGAACTTCTCTAATGATTCGTTGAACATGAATTCATAGACAAGTGCACTGGGAAGCTCCCCCTTGTACACACTTCCAAATCCACCTTGGCCCAATTTATGGCTGAATCGTTTAGTTATTTTCTTAATTCCAGAATAAGTGTATCGTGTGGGTTTTGTGGTTTTGTATGTAGCTAAGAACTTTTCTACTTTCAAGTATGTTCTTTTTTCCTTTTCAGATTGCCTGAAAACATATAGTACGATGGTCGAAACTGATAGGAGAACTAGGAGTCCGACAATGGATGTACCTAATCAATGAAAAATATATAATTAGCATAAAATATAACTTGATGGAGGTGCCTATATTCGCAAGGCTATACTCTTTTTAGTAGAGAATTTGAATTGCTTGTTATACATGACGATGAGGGCCACCATTGGGTTTCTGTGACAACCCGGCAACAATAAAATCCTTCGAATATAGGCTTATCTACAAAAATTATTCTATACAATTCATTTTGGATCAGATCTAAAACGACAGAATATGAGTTGAATCATGTGAAAAACCGCATATCTTGTTTAAATTCAACCTTAAACACATGCATTGATAATCATAAGAAACTTATGGACTTGTGTGCAAAGTCTAATGCAAACTCTTCTAAGAATCATACACACCATGCACACTTGTATAGCAAAGTTTACAAATGCTCTATTTGTGGTCGTAAAGGCCATTTATCTAAATTTTGCTATGATGCACAAAAATCTAAAAATGCTAATATCAATGTTTCTTGTGCATCTCATAAGGCTTCTTCATCACATTCACATGTACACACACATATAGATCATCATAAACATGTCCATGTGTACAAATGTGATTTTTGTGGTCGATTTGGTCATTTGGCCAAATTTTGTTTTGATTTAAAGAGAGTTTCACATTTGCAAAACAATCTTAAAAGATCATCCATGTTTGCAAATGTTTCTAATGTTTTCCGTGCACAACCATTTGGTCAACGCAAATTATTTCAACCTTGTCATTGCACTTATTGCAATCGAATGGGTCATTTGAGTGATTATTGCTATGACCGATCCCGTGCACCACATGCGCCTAAAAGGGTTCATAACCCTAGGGCCTTGAGCTTAAATGATAGGGGTCATGTTCCTAAATCTTTTGGTACCAAGAGTTCTTGGGTACCAAAACATTTTTGAATTTTTGTGACGCCCCTGGGTTCACACGAGGCTGCAGTCCTCGGTGAAACCAAGAATGTCAAACCTGCCATG